TGAGTGGGTGGGGGGGTTTGGTGTAGTAGAGGATGGGGGGTAGATGGGGTAGAGGGATTGAAGTTGAGAGGGAAGAGATGGTGAGGATAGTGAGGGAGAAAATAGCAATATTAGGGTTTGGTTACGTTTGGTTACGTTAGGTTGCGTTAGAATAGGTTACGTTACATTTGGTTAGGTTAGGCAAATAGGTAGATCATTCACATTCTTTATCTAAACTACTACCATTATCACCCAACTAACCACTAACAATCACTAACAACGACTCACCTACAGAAGATCATAGACCAAGAATCTTCATATCACACGACGAATTAATCATAAAAAAACTATATATCTAAATTGTTGAAGTAATATATAAATAAACATCGTAACATAGAAACGTGTAAAAAGCTTTAAAAAGTAAACCACTGATGCAGAGCGATATCCTCCCCCACCTTCCCCCCTCCCCACACGAGTTAACACCCCAACATCAGTGGGCCATAAATAAAGTTAGTAAAATGGAAGTATGAAAGAGAGAAAGAAACTGGCGATAAAGTTCAGAAATAGAGAGTTTGAAATAGCTAGCAGTAAGGGCAATGGGGTGTGGGAGGGCAGAGAGGTAGTAGAGAGGGAACTTTCTTTTGTATCCATCTATCTATTGTTGAACATTGACGAGTGTAGGTGAGACTATTGTTTGGGTCCTGTTGTCCTGTCAGTGAGGAACGCTATTGTTTATTTATCCCTAATTGTCAGGGTTTTATTTTTTTATTTTTTGGGGGAACGTGGGGTTTTTAATTAATTTGTAACAGTGATGGGTGTGTGTGTGTGTGTGTGTGTGTGTGTGTGTGTGTGTGTGTGTGTGTGTGTGTGTGTGTGGTTGTGTGTGTGTGTGTTTGTGTGTGTGTGTGTAAATAATATAATAATAATAATAATAATTGACGGTTTTTATTGAAAAAGTTCTGCAGCCCGAGGCTGAAAATATACATTGGACATAAATGACTTATTACATACATTGGTGGTTTAACAAAAGCCTTCATTAGAGAGTAAAAAAGGAACATACAGTGAATACACAGATTAATGTAGGTGTTGAACAGCAAACACAAGTGTAGTGACTCCTCCCAGATGGTGTTAGGAGGGACCTCACGTGGTGTAGTAGTTCCCTCACAGATGGTGTTTTGAGGGGCCTCACGTGGTGTAGTAATTCCCTCACAGATGGTGTTGTTGGGGACATGACGTGGTGTAGTAATTCCCTCACAGATGGTGTTTTGAGGGACATCACGTGGTGTAATGTTCCTCACAGATGGTGTTTTGGGGATACGTGGTGTAGTAATTCCCTCACAGATGGTGTTTTGAGGGACATGACGTGTGTGTAATTCCCTCACGGATGGTGTTATGAGGGACATCACGTGGTGTAGTAGTTCCCTCACAGATGGTGTTATGAGGACATCACGTGGTGTAGTAATTCCCTCGCAGATGGTGTTTTGAGGACATGACGTGGTGTGGTAATTCCCTCACAGATGGTGTTATGAGGGACATCACGTGGTGTAGTAATTCCCTCACAGATGGTGTTGCAGAGATCACGTGGTGTAGTAGTTCCCTCACAGATGGTGTTTTGGGGACATGACGTGGTGTAGTAATTCCCTCACAGATGGTGTTATGAGGACCTCACGTGGTGTAGTAATTCCCTCACAGATGGTGTTTTGGGGACATGACGTGGTGTAGTAATTCCCTCACAGATGGTGTTATGAGGGACATCACGTGGTGTAGTAATTCCCTCACAGATGGTGTTTTGAGGACATGACGTGGTGTAGTAATTCCCTCACAGATGGTGTTATGAGGGACATCACGTGGTGTAGTAATTCCCTCACAGATGGTGTTATGAGGGACATCACGTGGTGTAGTAGTTCCTCACAGATGGTGTTTTGAGGGACATGACGTGGTGTAGTAATTCCCTCACAGATGGTGTTATGAGGGATCACGTGGTGTAGTAATTCCCTCACAGATGGTTTTTGAGGGACATGACGTGGTGTAGTAGTTCCTACAGATGGTGTTATGAGGGACATCACGTGGTGAATAATTCCCTCACAGATGGTGTTTTGAGGGACCTCACGTGGTGTAGTAATTCCCTCACAGATGGTGTTATGAGGGACATCACGTGGTGTAGTAGTTCACAGATGGTGTTATGAGGGACATCACGTGGTGTAGTAGATTCCTCACAGATGGTGTTATGAGGACATCACGTGGTGTAGTATGTTCCCTCACAGATGGTGTTTTGAGGGACATGACGTGGTGTAGTAATTCCCTCACGGATGGTGTTATGAGGGACCTCACGTGGTGTAGTAGTTCCTCACAGATGGTGTTTTGAGGGACATGACGTGGTGTAGTAATTCCCTCACAGATGGTGTTATGGGGGCCTCACGTGGTGTAGTAGTTCCTCACAGATGGTGTTATAGGGACCTCACGTGGTGTAGTAGTTCCCTCACAGATGGTGTTTTGAGGGACATGACGTGGTGTAGTAGTTCCCTCACAGATGGTGTTATGAGGGGCCTCACGTGGTGTAGTAGTTCCTCACAGATGGTGTTATGAGGGACCTCACATGTGTAGTATGTTCCCTCACAGATGGTGTTTTGAGGGACATGACGTGGTGTAGTAATTCCCTCACAGATGGTGTTATATGGGACCTGACGTGGTGTAGTAATTCCCTCACAGATGGTGTTATGAGGGCCTCACGTGGTGTAGTAGTTCCCTCACAGATGGTGTTTGAGGGACATGACGTGGTGTAATAATTTCCTCACGGATGGTGTTATATGAGTGAGGTGCAGTCCCAGGCCTTCCTGGGCCTGTGTGTGTGTGTGTGTGTGTGTGTGTGTGTGTGTGTGTGTGTGTGTGTGTGTGTGTGTGTGTGTGTGTGTGTGTGTGTGTGTGTGTGTGTGTGTGTGTGTGTGTGTGTGGATGAAATAGGTCTGTATATTCATGTAACATAGTATTCTCATCTCTTAGTTTTTCGTTCGTGGCCAAGTAGAGTCACGGTAGGGAGGATAGTGTTCGGATAATTATGGAAAATAGGTAATTATATCGAAGGTAATACGTAATAATGTTGGTTTAATTACATTATTATTGTTATGTTGTTGTTGTTGTTGTTGTTGTTGTTGTTGTTGTTGTTTTTGTTATACCTATTATTATTGTTTTTGTTGTTAGATATCTATTAATAATCACAGCTAGTTCGATTGTGTGTGGGGAGGCGGGAGAAGTGAAGGGGTCAGATTGGGAAAGGGGAGGGAGGGATGGGAGGGCGTATCCTGGATGCGAACCAACGATCATCCTTAAGATAGGAAGAGAGCGTCGTTATCCACTCAGCCACTAAAAATTCACTTCAAAGAAAGATGGGAATAATAATAAACGGTGAGAATATAAGGTGAGTGAAATATAGGTAGGTAAACCATGGTGAAAGAATATGTAAAATGTTTGTGTGAACAGACTGTGGGGTAAGACTTATGTGTGGTTGGTGGACGCCTTTGGTGCAGAGGTGGGGGGTGGGGAGGGGGGATAGACTGACGTGATCGGGGGGGTGGGGGGTGGGGAGGATAGACTGCGTGATCAGAGGGGTGGGGGAGGGATAGACTGACGTGATCAGGGTGGGGGAGGAGGGATAGACTGACGTGATCAGGGAGTGGGGAGGGAGGATAGACTGACGTGATCGGGGGAGTGGGGGGAGGAGGGATAGACTGACGTGATCAGGGGGGGTGGGGGAGGGATGAGCTGACGTGATCGGGGGGTGGGGGGAGGGATAGACTGACGTGATCACAGCATTTTTCACCTCTAACCTTTTATCTATTTTAAACTACAAACTTTATTTTCATTTTTGTTACTATTAAAAATTCTACTTTTTATATAAACTTTTTTACGGGTGTTTTTTTCTTCTTTATTATCTATTTGGTGTTTTAATTTATTTGTTTCATTTAGGTGTTTTTTTGTATGGTTAAGGTGTTTTATTTGTTTGTTTTTCTCTGTCTCTCTTTCTTTCTCTCTTTCTTTCCTTATCTCAATAATTCCAAGACGCTACCTGAGTCATCACACACACACACACACACACACACACACACACACACCCAAACCTCCATCACGCCCACACCCTACCACGCCCAACACCCTACCACCCAACACCCACGCCCACACCCTACACGCCCACACGCCCTCCTCTCTTACCTACCGTGTGAGTTTAAGAAAGTCGGGTCACATAACTCGCTTAGTAATCAATGACGACCTGCAATAAGATTAGTTCTACCGGCGGAGGAGGAGAGGAGGAGGAGGAAGAGGAGAAGAAGGAAGAAGAGTAGGATGATGATTTATGAGGAGGAGGAAGGGAGAAAGGAAGACGAAGAGGAGGAAGAGGAAGAAGGAGAAGAGTGGGATGATGATTTATGAGAGGAGGAAGGAGAAGAAGGAAGAAGAGTAGGATGATGATTTATGAGGAGGAGGAAGAGGAAAAGAGGAAGACGAGGAGAGGAGGAAGGAGAAGAAGGAAGAAAGTGGGATGATGATTTATGAGGGAGGAGGAAGAGGAGAAAGAGAGGAAGACGAGGAGGAGGAGAGGAGAAGAAGGAAGAAGAGTAGGATGATGATTTATGAGGAGGAGGAAGAGGAGAAAGAGGAAGACGAGGAGGAAGAGGAGAAGAAGGAAGAAGAGGGATGATGATTTATGAGGAGGAGGAAGAGGAGAAAGAGGAAGACGGGGGAAGAGGAGAAAGGAAGAAGAGTAGGATGATGATTTATGGGAGGAGGAAGAGGAGAAAGAGGGACGAGGACGAGGAAGAAGAAAGAAAAGGAGGAGGAAGAGGAAGACGAACACGAGGAGGAGGAAGAAGAAAGAACCTAACCTAACCTAACTTAACCTGAACAGAGAGAGTTAATTAGTTCAGAGATAGTTCATGTTCTGTCTGTCTGTCTGTCTGTCAGGTAGAGTAAGTCAGCCTCTCTCTCTCTCTCAGTCAGTCTCTCTCACCAGGTTTCTCTCCCTACAGGCTCGCGTTGCCACCATCTCCACACCTGACTGAGACTTACCTTTACCCTCGGTCAGCACAGGTAAGTCTCCCCCTGTCTTGTGCTTACCTGGGTATAGGGACATGCTGAGGACACTACCAGGACATGCAGGACAAGCTGAGGATACGGTGAGGACATGGAAGACATTTTGAGGACACTATAGGACATTTTTTGGACAAGCTGAGGACACTGGGACATTCTTAGGACAAGCTGAGGACACTGGGACATTCTAAGGACAAGCTGAGAACACTGGGACATTCTTAGGACAAGCTGAGGACACTGGGACATTCTAAGGACAAGCTGAGGACACTCTCTCTCTCTCTCTTATTTTGCCTGACGGACCCACACTCTCACAAAGCCTTGAGTGACGGTTAAAGGAACTCACAAGACACTCTGTAACTCACACTAAGATGAGAGGTGTGTGTGTGTGTGTGTGTGTGTGTGTGTGTGTGTGTGTGTGTGTGTGTGTGGAGGATAATGTCAAGGTCTGTTCTATTATGTTCCATCTGATTGTTCCTGTGATATTGATTACCTGTGGGGAGGTTTACCACCTCCTACCACTATTACCTACCACAACTACCACTATTACCTACCACAACTACCAAAACTACCACTATTACCTTACCACAACTACCACTATTACCTACCCAACTACCACAACTACCACTATTACCTACCACAACTACCACTATTACCCGCAACTACCACAACTACCACTATTACCATTACCTACCAACTACCACAACTACCACTATTACCTACCACAACTACCACTATTACCTACCACAACTACCACAACTACCACTATTACCTACCACAACTACCACTATTACCCACTGCAACTACCACAACTACCACTATTACCTACCGCACCACCACTACTACCACTATTACCTACCGCAACTCCACAACTACCACTATTACCACCATTATTACTCAGCACTACTACCAACTACCACTATTACCTAGCACAACTACGCTATTACCTTCATCACCTACAACAACTACCTTCCACCTACCGCAACTACCACAACTACCACTATTACCTACCACTCTAACTACCACCACCACCCAAGGAGGAGGAGGAGTAGAGAGGGGGAGGTATAAAGGGGGAAGAGGAGGAAGGGGGAAAGAGGAGGAAGGGGAAAGGGAGGAAGGGGAAAGAGAAGGAAGGGGAAAGAGGAAGAAGAGGGAAAGAGGAGGAAGGGAGAAAGAGAAGGAGAGGAAGGGGAGAGGAGGAAGGGGAAGAGGAAGAAGGGGAAAGAGGAGGAAGGGGAAAGAGGGAAGAAGGGGAAAGAGGAGGAAGGGGAAAGAGGAGGAAGGGGGAAAGAGGAGGAAGGGGAGAGGAGGAAGGGGAAAGAGGAGGAAGGAAGGGAAGGGGAAAGAGGAGGAAGGGGAAAGAGAAGAAGGGGAGAGGAGGAAGGGGGAAAGAGGAGGAAGGGGAAAGAGGAGGAAGGGAAAGAGGAAGAGAGGGAAGGAGGAGGAAGGGAGGAAGGGGGAAAGAGGAGGAAGGGGAAAGAGGAAGAAGGGGGAAAGAGGAAGAAGGGAAGGAGGAGGAAGGAGGAAGGAGAAAGAGGAGGAAGGGGAAAGAGGAAGAAGGGGAAAGAGGAAGAAGGGGAAGGAGGAGAAGGAAGGAGAAAGAGGAGGAAGGGGGAAAGAGGAAGAAGGGGGAAAGAGGAGGAAGGGGGAGGAGGAAAGAGAGTCCCAGTTTTCAGCACCAGGTGGACTTCCTCGACCCATTTGCGGAAGTGACCGGTAAGTACTCGTCCTTGTCAACAGGAAAGTGCCTTGAATAAACTTACGAGGAAGTAATTAAGGCCCTCAAATTAATGGTTAATTAAACAATTTTAATACAGTAACTTCACCCCCCCTCCTCCTCCATCTCCTAGGAAAGTACCTCTTCCTTGGTCAGTACCTACTTCATAGGACGGTTAGTACTCCTAGGATAGTACAATAGTACATACTTTTAGGACAGTACCCATAGTTAAGACAGTACTTACCCCCTAGGAAAGTACCTACTCCACCAGGACAGTACCTACTCCCCCAGGACAGTGCCTACTCACCTAGGACAGTACCTACACTCCTAGGACAGTACCTAGTCCCATGATAGTACTTACTCCGCCAAGACAGAAACTAAACCCTCAGGACAGTACCTACTCCCTGGACAGTACCTACTCCCGCGATATTACCTACTCCTCCAAGACAGAAACAACTCCTTCAGGACAGTACCTATTTCCCAAGACAGTATCTACTCCCCTGAACAGTACCTACTCCCGCATGCCAGTACCCACTTCCCCCATGACAGAATCTACTTCACCCAGGACAGTACCTACTCCCCCAGGACAGTACCTACTCCCCAGAACAGTACCTACTTCCCCCTGGATAGTACATACCCCAATACAGTACCTACTCCCCTAGGACAGTACCTACTTCCCCAGGACAGTACCAATTTTCCCCAGGATATTACCTACTCCCCAGGACAGTACCTATTACCCAGGACAATACCTACTTCCCCCAGGATAGTACCTACTCCCTAGGACAGTATCTACTTCCCCCATGACAGTACCTACTTCCCATAACAGTACCTACTGTACTTCCCCAAGGACAGTACATATTCCCCAGGACAGTACCTATTCCCTAGGACAATATCTACTTCCCCCAGGCCAGTGCCTACTTCCCCAAAGAGAGTACCTATTCCCCAGGACAGTACCTATTTCCCATGAAAGTACCTACTTCGACCAGGATAGTACCTACTTCCCCCAGGACAGTGCCTCAACATATATCCCACTGAGTTTTGCTTAAATTTTTTAGCTGAACCTTTGAGATCGATGTTCGTGTGACGTCAGCATCAGGAGTGGTAAAGGTGTGGAGAGACTGACCTCTGTGGCGTGGAGGGCGTGGGGCTTTAACCCTCTGTGGCGTGGAGGGCGTGGGGCTTTAACCCTCTGTGGCGTGGAGGACGTGGGGAAGCACAACCCTCTGTGGCGTGGAGGTGTGGGGCTTTAACCCTCTGTGGCGTGAAGGGCGTGGGGCTTTAACCTCCCTCTGTGGCGTGGAGGGCGTGGGGCTTTAACCCTCTGTGGCGTGGAGGGCGTGGGGCTTTAACCCTCTGTGGCGTGGAGGACGTGGAGGCGTGGAGGGTGTGGGGCTTTAACCTCTCTGTGGCGTGGAGGCATTGGGGCTTTAACCTCTGGCGTGGAGGACGTGGGCGTGGGAGGTGTGGAGCTTCAACCCTCTGTGGCGTGGGGCGTGGAGGGCGTGGGGCTAACCTCTGTGGCGTAGACGCGTGGGACTTTAGCCTCTGTGGTGTGGAGGGCGTGTCAGCGTCTACATTCGTGGATATAGATAGATAGATAGATGAATGGAGGGTAGAAGATAGATAGATAGATAGATAGATGAGATTAAAATGAAATGTTGGAATAATAGGAAATTTTGGAGAGTCGTTCATCAAATGGTTTACTGATACAAATGTATATAACCTACACACACACACACACACACACACACACACACACACACACACACACACACACACACACACACACACACACACACACACACACAAATACCAAACCTCTTTTAGCTGCTGTTGTTCGTCCCAAGAGAGAAGAAATGAATGCTGTTATTCCCCTGGACGGTATAAGGGGGAAGGGAGGAAGGGGGTGAAGTAACCTAATCTAATCCCTAATCCCTAATCTGATTAACATGGCTGTAAACCTGACACATAACATCCTAATCTTTTAAGCGACTATTTCTCTGGATTTAGAGGTCAGTATAATAAAAGGTCAACTCTGACGTCATGACCCAATGACCTATCCAATCCCTCCTACCCTCTCTACCCTCCCTATTTCCTATCCTTAATCCTATCACTAGTCACTCCCCTAATCATCATCCCTATTACGTAGAATTGGTGGTGATGATCCGCGCCTTAATCCGTAACTGAGGGATTAATTGGTGGGTTTTTTTTTGTGAGATGGATTTGGGTACAAGATTTGTTTAGTCTCTCGTAAAATGTTTTAAATTCGCATCTACTACACACTATAGCTCCCACACACTATACCTACCACGAACTATATCTACCACACACTATACCTACCACACACTATACCTACCACACACTATACCTACCACACACTATACCTACCAAACACTATATCTACCACACACTATACCTACCACACACTATATCTACCACACACTATAGCTACCACACACTATACCTACCAAACACTATATCTACCACACACTATATCTACCACACACTATATCTACCACACACTATATCTACCACACACTATATCTACCACACACTATACCTACCACACACTATAGCTACCACACACTATACCTACCACACACTATAGCTACCACACACTATACCTACCACACACTATAGCTACCACACACTATAGCTACCACACACTATAGCTACCACACACACTTATCTACACTATACCTACTACACACTATATCTACCACACACTATACCTACCAACCACTATATCTACCACACTATACCTCCACACACTATACCTACCACACACTATATCTACCACACACTATACCTACCAAACATATCTACCACACACTATATCTATCACACACTATACCTACCACACACTATATCTACCACACTATATCTATCACACACTATATCTACCACAATATATCTACCACACACACTATACCTACCACACACTATATCTACCACACACTATATCTACCACACATACCACACACTATATCTACCACACACTATACCTACACACACTATACCTACCACACACTATACCTACCACACACTATATCTACCACACACTATACCTACCACACACTATATCTACCACACACTATATCTACCACACACTATACCTACCACACACTATACCTACCACACACTATACCTACCACACACTATACCTACCACACACTATATCTATCACACACAAAGGTTAAGTTAGGTTAGGTTAGGTTAGGTTAGGTTAGGTTAGGAAGGGCAAAATATGTTGTCTTATATATTATTCAAAGCTTTATCGACTTCA